TCCTCTCTCGCCTCCTCCTCCCCCTCTCTCTCCTCCTCTCTCTCCTCCTCTCTCTCCTCCTCCTCTTCCCCCCTCCTCCTCTTTTTCCTCCTCTTTCTCTCTCTCCTCCTCCTCCTCTCTCCTCTTCCTCCTCCTCCTCTCTCTCCTCCTCCTCCTCCTCCTCTGTCTTTTTGTGCTCGTTCATTCCACAGCGGCCTTTAGGCTAACATGGTGCGACGCTGTATGTCTTTAGGGTATAGATGGAGGAAACAATTCTAACTCCTTATCTTCGGCAAGCTGCTCCTGATGGCTTGTGGTCGGAGGCTTGTCCATTGCTTTTGTTTCTCTGTCTTCTTTTTTTTCAACCACCAGTAAGTCACTGTCCTGACGTCATTTTGAAAAATGCTGTATATGCAATTTTAACAATTTTACAGGAGGGCCAAAAAAATTAATATTGTTACCAAGAAATCAAACTTTTTGCAAACATCCCAAGTCAGTATTTTTAAGAATACAATTTTGATGATAACTTCCTGATTATGTTGTCAACTTTCAGTTTTTTGGCTCTGCTGTAAAATTGTCAAAATTTCATTTACTGTATTGTTTTAAAATGATGACAGTTATAACTTCCTGATTGTGTGATTTTAATGTAACAACATTAAGATTTTGGGCTCTGCTGTAAAACTGTAAAAAACTGCATGTACTGCTTATTTTAAAATGATGACAGTATCATTGAAAGGACATGCTTGTCATTAACTCAAACTCAAAGAATAAAACCAAACTGTTATCAAATTTTGTAGATATATTTATTTGTATATATATTTTTTGGTGTAATTCATGGATGTGTGCAAATTTCCTCCACACAGGTTGCCCCGGATCAAGATTAGATGTCCGCCGTTCATCGTGACAGTGAAGTGTGACGAGAGAGTCGAGATCCACAAGACGTGAGTGCGATACACATGGATAGTTCAGCACAACTACCGTACAGAAATCAGCGACCGACCATGTTGGATGTTTATGACTCTACTGTATCTGAACTTTTATTGCTCATCCTGAAGAATTAAGATACAGTAATGTCATAAACGTCCTGCATTGTCAGTTGCTGACTTGTGCATACGGTTGTTGTGCTGACTGAATTTCAACATTTATTGCTCATCCTGAAGAGTGCCAAATTAATGAAATCCAACAAGGAGACATAACTACGGCAATTAATGATAGTGAACCCAACACATTTATTGCTCATTTAACAGATATTGCAGAGATATATTACTGTGAACAACATAGGGGGAACTGCTGCTTTTTTCTTTCCTCGTCCTTACTATCGTCATTTTATCCTCTACTTCTTTTGTATGTTTGTCACTCTCTTGTGAACTGTTATAGCCAGGTTCATATTACTTACACTTATTGAGGAAAAAAAAACGGGGATTTGATTTATCACTGTTATATATCCAAGTTCCTGTAATGACAGAGGCTGTTATAAATGGGCTGGACTGTATTTATACATGTACCCTGACAATGTTGCGTTTGGTTCCAGGTTCTGCGTGACCTACTGTATCTCTAACCAACTGCATGACATAAGGGACAATACGTTTATTTATACTATACATGTACCGTGACAATGTTGCATTTGGTCCCAGATTCTACGTGACCTACTGCATCTCTAACCAGCTGCACGACTTTATGAGCATGAGGCTGTACTTCAACATGGACAACATGTACCGGAATCTCATCGAACAAGGTCAGTGGGCGGGGAGAAAGCTTTTGTTTTTGTTTTATGGTTTTTGGTTTTTTTCCTTTTCTTTCTTTAACTCTTTCACAAACGGTGAGTTTTCCTCTCCATGACCGGGCCTTTCTGTGACCTACTTTCTGATTCTGCCTACTGTGGGACAAATTAAAGATTTTTTAGTTCAATTTTCAATATATTATATTACGGAAATAAAGGGGAAATGATGACCTATTTCAACATGTTGCTAAAAATGATCCTTCTTCAGGCTGAGATTTCAGATTTGAAAATCACAAAACTAGGTGTGGTTTTGAAGCAGGAAGTGGCGAGCCATGAAACATGGCTCACGATAGTGAAAGAGTTAAATTAAGGATGCGTTATGCCCTCATTGACACATTTTAAATCTGTAGGAGAATGGGGGCTCTTGCGGACTAGAGGTACGGTGTTCGCCTCTCATTCAATACGTCCTGGGTTTGAAACCTGACAGTGATGAAAAATGTTCTTCTCTGAAATCTTCTATTTTCTCCACCTGTCCGGATCTCGAGTCCTGTTCTGTCAACTGCTTTCAGCTCCACTTGTAGGTCAGAATCTAAGTCCCTCTCCCAAGTACTTTTAGGTCTTCCTCTCTTTCTCAAGCCTCGTAGACTCTATATTGATGTGTTTAATCTGTAATTCCATATTTTCCATTGTCAGAACTATCAATATTTATTCATTATTATCGTCATTTTTATTTTTATTATTGTAATCATTATTGATATTATTGTTATTATTATTATTTATTATTATTATTGTTATTGTTATTATTGTTATTGTTTTTAATATTATTATTATTTAATTATTACTATCAATTATTATTATTATTATTATTACTGTTTCTCTGTCAGTCTAGAGTAAACGAAGCAGAGGCAAAGAATAAAACAGAGAAAGATGAGAAAAAGGAAAAATATAAAAAGAAAACAGGATAGGAAGAGCAGAAAATAGAACGAGTATGACAAAAGACGAGGAAGAAGGGGGAAATAGACGAAACATGAAGTAATGGAGATTGAATGACATGGGGACTAAGAAATACTAGACCTAATTGTCACGATCCGGTGGAATCAGGTGCTCGTCAATTTTTGGGCATGTGGAGTTCTTGGTATTATCTAAAAGCTGATTTATTTGCCTTGCTTCCAATTAAATAGATATATCTATTCGTCTTGAATAGAACTCGACATATTTGCGATTGAAGGAAGTGAGTTCCGATGGTTTCCGTGGTGAAATTAGCAAGAAAATGGCTGCTAAAGTTTGGTAAGTCCAATAGCTAAAGAGTCCTGGAAAATAGAAAAATGGCATATTGAGTGCGTTTAATCTATATTTTTCAGTAAAATTCACGAGGAAATGTGTTTTTACATGGATATATAGGAGGTTGAGCCCCCCAAAAATTTGATAAAAATTCCCAAACTGGCAAAAAGTGCCGGCTTCTGATTTCTGTATTTTGACGAGCACCTGATTTCACCACTCTCTCTCTGGGAAATGATTCAGGTCTGTGTTACTGACCCCCCCCCGGGGTGGTGCTACTGACTGAAGTGTCTTTTGGCCATTCCCAAAGGAGGGATATTAACATGTTCTTATGCACAGTAGAATGGTCAATGGGCTCTTTCATCAATGTCATGCTCATACTGTGCCGGAACAAGATAGGGGGAACTGCTGCTTTTTCTTTCCTCATCCTTACTATCGTCATTTTTACCTCTACTTCTTTTGTATGTTTGTCACTCTCTTGTGACCCGCTATTTCCGGGTTGCCTTGATAATCGAAGCAGACTTTGTGCTGTTGAAGCGAGGTGAGCACTAATGAGCAGAGTAAGCCCCATTCACTGTATGGACTTCTCTTGTTTGTTTTAGTAAGCTTTTATGGTGCTCGCAACTGCATACGCCAAAGGACTTCTCTGTTGACATCCGCACGCTCCTTTGACCCTATGCAGTTGCGAGGGCCGTAAAACCTTACTAAAACAAAACTGAAGGGCTGTGTTGTTTGTCTCCAGGTGCTAGCGGCGAGGAGTTTGAGAAGGTCGTTCACCTCAAGGACTCTGTGGTGTGCCACGACCCAGATATTGCCATCAGGTCAGCTGCTGCCAGTACAATAAGGAAAATAAAAAAGAAACAAAAAACTGTTTCCCCAGGTCAAAAGGAGATGGTTAAAGTCAGCATTCCTGAATCATGTCAAGGAAAACTTGATGGAATACTTAATGGTTCTTTTCTGGGAAAGCTCATTGTTCTCTTTCTCTCTCTCCCTCTCTCTCTCTCCCTCTCTCTCTCTCCCCACCCTCTCTCTATCTCCCTCTCTCTCCCTCTTCCTCTCCCTCTCTTTCCCTCCCTCTCTCTCTCCCTCTTCCTCTCCCTCCTCTCTCTCCCTCTCTCTCTCTCTCTCTTTTTCTCTCTCTCTCTCTCCCCTCTCTCTCTCCCTCTCTCCCCTTCTCTCCCTCTCCCTCTCTCCGTCTCTAGCCCCCCCCCCCCCCCCCCCCCCCCCCGGGGTGGTGCCACTGACTGAAGTGTCTTTAGGCCATTTCCAAAGGGGGGATATTAACATTATCTTATGCACAGTAGAATGGTAAATGGGCTGATTTATCAATGTCATGCTCATACTGTGCTGGAAGAACATAGGGGGAACTGCTGCTTTTTCTTATCTAATCCTTAATATATATAAAAAATTGTTGTATTCTACGCCTAGCCGGCTGCAGGTACAATTTGCTTCGCAGTTTTTGTGCAATTTCTATATATTCTTTACTCAAGGATGTACTGGAGAGAGAGAGAGAGATACAGAGGCAGAGAGAGAGAGACAGAGACAGAGTGACAGAGAGAGAAAGAGGATTACTATAGGAGCTGTGCACTGCATGCGTTCTTTGTATTATTGTACAGCGCATTGAGCACTTCTTTGTGGAAATGTGCTATAAATGCAATTTACTATTATTATTATTACTATCGTAATTTTTCCTCTTCTTCTTTTGTATGTTTCTCACACTCTTGTGACCCGCTATTTCCTGGGTGCCTTGATTATGTTGATAGTCGAAGCAGACTTTGTGCTGTTGAAGCTACAGAGGTGAGCAGAGCAAGCCTGATTCCCTGTAAGGACTTCTCTGTTGACATCCACCCCTTAGAGCTCATATGACCTTATGCAGTTGCGAGCGCCGTAAAACCTCTAAACTCTCTCTAGCCTCCCCCCATCCATCTCCCCTCTCTCCATCCTTCCTCTCTCTTTCTCTAACCTCCCTCACTCATTCTGCTTATATAGATCTATCTCCCTCCCTCATACAAAGATTTCTCTCATATGATCCCCACAGCTCATGTCCCCGTGGCTCTAGTGTCCCATCCAAGTAGGCTTCCAGATACCTAGTCGTTTCCCCCCTCCCTCTCTCTTTCTCTCTCTTTATCTCTCTCTCTCTCTCTCTCTCTCGCCCTCCCTCCTTCCTCCCTATCTCCCTTCCTCATATAACGACTATTCGTATGTAACCCCCCAGCTTCTGCCCCCGCGGCACCAGCGTCCCCATACAAGAAGGCTTCCAGATACACCAGCCTGGCCTCTACGAGAAACGGTGAGTTTTCCTCTCCATGACCGGGCCTTTCTGTGACCTACTTTCTGATTCTGCCTACTGTGGGACAAATTAAAGATTTTTTAGTTCAATTTTCAATATATTATATTACGGAAATAAAGGGGAAATGATGACCTATTTCAACATGTTGCTAAAAATGATCCTTCTTCAGGCTGAGATTTCAGATTTGAAAATCACAAAACTAGGTGTGGTTTTGAAGCAGGAAGTGGCGAGCCATGAAACATGGCTCACGATAGTGAAAGAGTTAAATTAAGGATGCGTTATGCCCTCATTGACACATTTTAAATCTGTAGGAGAATGGGGGCTCTTGCGGACTAGAGGTACGGTGTTCGCCTCTCATTCAATACGTCCTGGGTTTGAAACCTGACAGTGATGAAAAATGTTCTTCTCTGAAATCTTCTATTTTCTCCACCTGTCCGGATCTCGAGTCCTGTTCTGTCAACTGCTTTCAGCTCCACTTGTAGGTCAGAATCTAAGTCCCTCTCCCAAGTACTTTTAGGTCTTCCTCTCTTTCTCAAGCCTCGTAGACTCTATATTGATGTGTTTAATCTGTAATTCCATATTTTCCATTGTCAGAACTATCAATATTTATTCATTATTATCGTCATTTTTATTTTTATTATTGTAATCATTATTGATATTATTGTTATTATCATTATTTATTATTATTATTGTTATTGTTATTATTGTTATTGTTTTTAATATTATTATTATTTAATTATTACTATCAATTATTATTATTATTATTATTACTGTTTCTCTGTCAGTCTAGAGTAAACGAAGCAGAGGCAAAGAATAAAACAGAGAAAGATGAGAAAAAGGAAAAATATAAAAAGAAAACAGGATAGGAAGAGCAGAAAATAGAACGAGTATGACAAAAGACGAGGAAGAAGGGGGAAATAGACGAAACATGAAGTAATGGAGATTGAATGACATGGGGACTAAGAAATACTAGACCTAATTGTCACGATCCGGTGGAATCAGGTGCTCGTCAATTTTTGGGCATGTGGAGTTCTTGGTATTATCTAAAAGCTGATTTATTTGCCTTGCTTCCAATTAAATAGATATATCTATTCGTCTTGAATAGAACTCGACATATTTGCGATTGAAGGAAGTGAGTTCCGATGGTTTCCGTGGTGAAATTAGCAAGAAAATGGCTGCTAAAGTTTGGTAAGTCCAATAGCTAAAGAGTCCTGGAAAATAGAAAAATGGCATATTGAGTGCGTTTAATCTATATTTTTCAGTAAAATTCACGTGGAAATGTGTTTTTACATGGATATATAGGAGGTTGAGCCCCCCAAAAATTTGATAAAAATTCCCAAACTGGCAAAAAGTGCCGGCTTCTGATTTCTGTATTTTGACGAGCACCTGATTTCACCACTCTCTCTCTGGGAAATGATTCAGGTCTGTGTTACTGACCCCCCCCCGGGGTGGTGCTACTGACTGAAGTGTCTTTTGGCCATTCCCAAAGGAGGGATATTAACATGTTCTTATGCACAGTAGAATGGTCAATGGGCTCTTTCATCAATGTCATGCTCATACTGTGCCGGAACAAGATAGGGGGAACTGCTGCTTTTTCTTTCCTCATCCTTACTATCGTCATTTTTACCTCTACTTCTTTTGTATGTTTGTCACTCTCTTGTGACCCGCTATTTCCGGGTTGCCTTGATAATCGAAGCAGACTTTGTGCTGTTGAAGCGAGGTGAGCACTAATGAGCAGAGTAAGCCCCATTCACTGTATGGACTTCTCTTGTTTGTTTTAGTAAGCTTTTATGGTGCTCGCAACTGCATACGCCAAAGGACTTCTCTGTTGACATCCGCACGCTCCTATGACCCTATGCAGTTGCGAGGGCCGTAAAACCTTACTAAAACAAAACTGAAGGGCTGTGTTGTTTGTCTCCAGGTGCTAGCGGCGAGGAGTTTGAGAAGGTCGTTCACCTCAAGGACTCTGTGGTGTGCCACGACCCAGATATTGCCATCAGGTCAGCTGCTGCCAGTACAATAAGGAAAATAAAAAAGAAACAAAAAACTGTTTCCCCAGGTCAAAAGGAGATGGTTAAAGTCAGCATTCCTGAATCATGTCAAGGAAAACTTGATGGAATACTTAATGGTTCTTTTCTGGGAAAGCTCATTGTTCTCTTTCTCTCTCTCCCTCTCTCTCTCTCCCTCTCTCTCTCTCCCCACCCTCTCTCTATCTCCCTCTCTCTCCCTCTTCCTCTCCCTCTCTTTCCCTCCCTCTCTCTCTCCCTCTTCCTCTCCCTCCTCTCTCTCCCTCTCTCTCTCTCTCTCTTTTTCTCTCTCTCTCTCTCTCTCTCTCTCTCTCTCTCTCTCTCT